ATAGCACATAAATTATTTGAGAAGGAATTCACAACAGAATATGGACCAATCAGTGGAGAGAAAATGTTTGAAAATCTTCAAACTTCCTTAGAATTATATGTGGCAAATTCGGGTGGCAAAGCAAAATTTCAATTATGTGATAATAGAGAAAATTATTATATAGTTTTGTGCACTCCAATCATGCTTAGAGTTCATGAAAAGATGGTGCAAAGTAGTGAGCTAGTTATGGTGGGTGCTTCTGGTGGTGTTGATAAGCAGAGACATAGAATTTATTTCTTCGTAATTCCAAGTGCAGCTGGTGGTCTTCCCCTGGGAGTAATAATAACCGATACAGAAAAAGAAACGGTATTTTCTCAGGCCTTAAAATGTTTTCAAAAACTGCTTGGGGATTCAGCTTTTTATTCAAAGAAGTATCCTATTGTCTTTCTCACCGACAATGATTTAAAAGAAATCAAGGCTCTTGAGGAGAATTTTCCTCAATCAATAAAGTTATTATGTCATTTTCACGTTTTAAAAGCATTTTAGAATTGGTTAAGTAGTCCCAATCATAACATAAAGAAAGATCAGCGACAAGAGGCCTATTTCATTTTTAAAAGACTGCTTTATTCACACAATGAAGATAGTGCCAACGAAAATCTCACACACATGATTTATTTTGTATCAAAAAACTCTTACGATAGTTTATTGAGACATGTACAAAGGTTATGGGAAAACAAAGAGACCTGGGTTGCATGTTATCGCTCACATTTACCCACTCGTGGTAATAATACCACAAATTATGTTGAAATTGTATTTAGAATTTTGAAGGATTGTATTTTAGATAGGGTGATGGCATTTAACTTAACACAGTTAGTGGATTTCATCCTAACTAAATATGAAATGTACCTGAAACAACGATTGGTAGATTATTGTAATGGAAGACATTGTAATTCAGTTTTAAAAAAAATGTTACCGACAGTGTGTGACTCGAATATTCTCAGTGTCTCAGAAGATTCTGTTAACAACTTGTACAATGTTGCTAATAGTGCAACGAAATGTTCTTATACCGTTGATCTTGTTAGAGGAGTATGTTCATGTCCTGTTGGTAGCAACGGAAAATTATGTAAGCATGCCTCAGCTGTAATTTTGGGTTTGGAAACTAAAATAATCACATCATATAATCTTGTATGTGAAGGAGTGAAACAAGATATATTTTTCATCGCAGAAGGTGTATTGCCGCCTCCACAATGGTTTCTTCCTCTGGGTAAAAATCCCACAGAAGAGTTTGAAATTAGTCTGAATTCTCAAACAATAAATCAAGACTACAATATTCTTGCAGGTAAGTTTAGTAGAAAAGAAACTAACCCAACCAAACTAACTCAAACCTTATTGGGAGGTTTTTCTTCCTATGATGTTAACCTAATATTTAATACAGAGCTTGGCAAATTACTTCGAATAACTATCTATCTACAAATTTAAATATGGGTACCTAGGTATTCAAGCTATCAGGTACCTAGCTACTTAAATAAAGTAGCTATTTGGTATCTATTCACTCCAATAAAGTAGCTAACTAATTTCTGTGCAAAAGAAGCTTGAATACAGCTATAAGCAGATTAGCTGTCTACAGTAGTGTCAGAAGTTACTTACCAGCTCTGATTAGGTAAGTAATATTATTTAATTTAGATTTTATTTCAGTAGAAAGAGAAGAAAATCACAGTTACCAAAAAAGTAATGTTAGTAGTGCAAGTGGCAACAGCTCGCGCAACTGCCATGTAGATGCCATTTCAGATGACGAGCATAACCAGCTAAAACACATATTCGCAAGGATTGAAGATGGTCTTGAATGCAATCCAGCAGTCTTTGTTCCAGCTGTCAAAAAAATGTTGAGTAACAGTCAATTATTTGCAACTGAATGTGGGTTAGTATCTGCATTACACACTATTGGTACCTATAGTGGGCTGAAACCCAAAGACAAGAATACCAACAAACAACATCGATGCCATAAATCAAAAATAGGGGTGCAACCAGCTGCACTTGGCAAAAGAAAACATTGCATATCTGGAAAAAGAAAATTAAGTTCTGGACGACCTAGTGGCCAAATAAGGAATAAGGTGGAACTTAAAGACCACAATTATACCAGTTTGGGATCACTTCCTTCAAGAAAAAGGAAGGCTCCTCATAATTTACAAGTTTGTGTTTATGACAATAAAGCAATTGGGGGGATAAAGCGAGCTAAATAATGAATGTTTACATTTCTGTTTGTTGAAAAAAAAAATCTTATACTATACTGACTTAAGTCATAGTACATGTAACTTGATATGTATGACTCCTTCTCATTTGTTTTTCCCTATCTTTTTTTATACATTTTCTGAGATTTCCATTTACATGTACCTACTCAGGTATATCACACACCTAGTTAAGTTCAATTATAATGCAATGGATTTTTCTATAGATAGGTATTTTGTATTTTGATATTAAAACTGGGATTTAAGCTTATTTTGAATTTGATGTTGTTTTTTCGAAGTCTACGACTGCATTTCTAGGAATTATTGCAGGCCCTGATTTGATAAAGTCCCCAGAGAGCATAATTCTCAGAATCAGACAAAACTGTCCTATAATGTTTTCTCCTGCCTCCCCCAAGTTTTCCTTTACCTTTACTATTTCCGCAAACCCATATGAGAGATATTCGAATACCTAGGTATACATTATTACCTAATAAAACTTGTAGCAACATTTTATGTCTCTTAATAATCCCAAAATTGCAATAGGTCAATGTGCAATCTCCAAAAAGATGGCAAAAAGGCCAAAACATGAGTCGATAAACCTAAATATACATCCTTTTACTTTTGTCACAGCTATTTTATTGTTTGTTTGTTTACATACATCATAACATACATTTCCGATGTAAGCAACAGCTGATTCTATGTATGTCAGCAGCGGCCAATGAAATCGCTTAATTTATTATCCTATGTTGAATTCGGTAGGATCGGCAAAATGCCTGTCGGTCGGTGCGAGAAAAGAGCCACGTTTTGTTTAACGAGCCCGAATTGTAACCCGGTAAATTTGAACGTTTTTATCAATTTGAATTTACCTTTTCATTATCAATATTTAGTTTGGCATATCAGTATTTTTGAAAATATTTGGGATTTATAAAAGAAAAAGAATTTGACCTCCAAGAGGGACAATTTTTCAGTAAAAATCACTAGTCACCTTGAAAAAGGACATTAATGAATGGCCTTATTAATAAGGGGATTTTTTTTTGAGACAACTTACAGGTTTCAGGGAATTTTGCTGCTTCATTTATGTACCGTTTGAGGGCTGGGATTTTGATTTTACAAGTATGAAGGAGTTCTAAGAATTTGTTCTCTTTCCGGGTTTTAGGTTTTATTTTTCCATTGGGTTTTTCCCTTTCGGCGGTTTGTTAACGTCTCGAAGTTGGGGTGTCAGAGTACCCACAACACTGAATCTGAAACCGAAATTTAGCCTATTTAAGAAGGGAAGTCAAGAAGTTGATGGAGTCTGTTATCAGGGCTGTAAGGCTGTCATAAGACAACAATGGATGTTTAGACTGCAGGCAAGACCACAAGGGGGTGATGTACCTACTCGTTGATTTATTAACGTTATTCTTTTTTTTTTCATTATTATTAATAGTATTTCTTATATTTAACTTGGTACATTTCCAAGTTTGTTTTAGCGCCTTCATTATTACAATGGGTGTACAGTACCAATGATTATGAATTTACTAAGTATATTAAGATACATTGAAGAAAATGATTTATTCGAATCTAATTTAAATGGATCTGCTGGAATTTTAATTGAATTTGATGTATTTTTACCAATATTAATAAAATAATCGTTGTAGATATTAGCTATATCCGGTATCCGCCTTATTCTTAATAATTTGTCCATGGTGTTTTAGCTGTAATACTGGTAATTTAGATTTGCTTCCGTTAGCTGCTTCATTTATAAGCTTATACATTTTTTAAATACTACTCGTTTTTCATGATTTTGTTTTGATAATAATCATTTTTTGTTTTATTAGATTTTTTAGTGTATTTCGGTATTCTTTGTAGTCTTGTATTTTTCCCATGCTTGAATTTTTTGTTAGTGATTTTTTTAGTTTGTCTCGTTTTTTTATGGATGTTTATATGGATGGCTTGATTTTGTTATATTTTTTAGTTAGGTACTTCTATAATTTGTTCAGATTGTTCTTTAATCTTGTTTTTGTTTTCAATTAAGTAATTAGTAGTTTCTTCAGATCTTTCAAAAGTGTATGATTCCAGTTATCTGCAAGTTCTTTTAATTTTTCAAAGTCAGTCACTAAATTTGCATTTTCCTTTCTAGTTTCAGAGACAATAAGGCTAACCAGAGAATGGTCTGTTATATCACTTGAGATTACGAAAAAATCAGTTTTATTTGTTCTAAATTCGAGTCTGTTTCTCTTGAAAATATGATCCAAGCAGGTATGTGATGTATCTCTCGTAACTAACAGACAATGAGAAAAAAAACCGCTTGAATTCATGAAGGCCATGTAAATTATTGCAGACACATCATCCCTATTCAATAGTTTTTATGTTGATATTACCTATAAAAACATCAAAATCATTGTTTTGGCACATTGCTGTGATTTCAAATACATATCCAATTTCTCCAAAAACTTATTCATATTTGATGATGGTGACCTATATGTGGCATAGATGTTATATTGATTGTTATAACTATTTAAATTGATTTTTGTCAAAGTAAAGCCACATCTCTTCAGTTTGAAGTTCTCAGAAATTGGATTTATATGGTTTTTCACATAAATCACTAAACTATCATATGAATTAAAATTGGCAGAATTATAGTAGACATACTATATCCAGATTTCAGGGATATTAAGTTGAGAAACACTTTCAAGACTATGGCATTCGCTAAGAACAACATATTATAAGTTTCCAAAAATGTTAGAAAATTTTCAAAGTTTGTTTTAATGCTACATATATTGAGATGAAAAATGTTTAAAACTATCTTCCTATCACTCACAACCGTTGGAGAGCATCCGCTCCGTCCCTTTGACATTCATTTTGTTCTTCTTCAATATCTTCTAGAGTATGCATTTCAAAGTAAGCCATAGTTTATTCGTGATTTAGTTATCTCCAGGTAGTATTTGTAAATTGGACAGTTTTGGTCACTGGCCTCATGTGAGATGTCATGATGTGTTTTATACTTTTTATTACTAATTTCACAATTGATGCACTCAAGTACTCGGCTTCGACATTCCTTCATATCGTGTTCTTCTGCGCATCGCCTACAGGTTTGCTTATTCAGACACCTCCTTTGTGATGATATAGCTGGCAGTTGTAGCACTTTAGGACACTCAAATCCTCATAAACTGGCGAACGTTCCCATTCCAGATAAACCCTTCTGCAAACAAGAAGGTTCTGGAATAGTTTAGGAGAGCATTCGGCATAAAGTGTCTAGGTGGCTTTGTCTTTAAATGTTTTTATGTATGTTACTTGAGAATGTTCATTATCTGTTATAATTGAATATTTTTTCTCAGTTGAGCCTCAAATACTGTTCCTTTGTATAGTCCAAGCTTACACCAGGAATCTTTATCTTCGGATTCTTTAGAGTAGTCTGCAAAATTTCATAATTTTTCTCTAAATTTTTGTTCGCTTCATTTTTTACCTTTTCAAGGTCAGTAACAGCAGGAGATTATAGAATAATATTGCCATTAGATAATTCTTTTTTTCCTTTTATCCTTGCTCCAATGTCGCCTAGTTTGATTTTTGTATTTAAATCACCTAAAGTTTGTCTTACATCCTGCTTTATCTTTGGTTTTATTATAAGATTTGAAAAATCTTAAAATGGCTGCCTGCGCGTAAGACGGTCTTGAGGCAGTTTTTTCAAGTTTAGATGAAATTATGGTGGTTTTTTCATATATAATACCACAAGAGAAAAAATTTTGTTGGCAAAATTTTCGACTGGTATGAAAGTTTGTTGCTTGGCAATTTCGCGAATGACATTTCATGGGCGAAATTACCAAAAAGCAACAAACTTGAATAAAACCAAGAGAATAATTTTGCCTACATAATGTTGTCTTGAGTGGTACCTATTCGGCTGGACTATTTCACGAGAAACAAGCCAAATTTTCATTTGGAAAATTTATTTTCTTAAGGTAACACTTGTCAAACTCAATAAGTTTTTTACATTAATCACACAAAATTTTGTCGCTGAAAAACCATCATGTTGGTTTTGTCCAGGTAGGAACAGGTAGGAGTTTTGTCAGTAGGAAACTGGCCGTTCCTATGACATTTTGCCAGTGTAAAGGCCGTATCAGACGTGCCGTTGCCGATTCCATTAGCCGTTGCCGTTGCCGTCACGGTTGCAATCACACTTGACACCGTTCCGTTACCGATTACTGGTTGTACTATTTAAGATGTTGTTAATAGCATTAATTAATTGTTTGTTTGTTAATTTATTGTTTTAAATAAAACTAATTAAAACTCAGGAAAATGAAAAACGTGCTGTGTTTTCTTTTATTTTTCAAATTCACCTCCCATTTTCAAATATCAGAACCGTGACCTTAAAAATCAAAATAGAATACTACATTCTCCCCTAGCTTTGAAAGAAAAGTTTATCCAATGCTTGAAAAACTTTAAACTACTCACAGTTTACAAAACAAAATTAAATTCTTGTTACAAAAAAAATTATAAGAGCTCAAAACATACCTTACTTATAATGATAAATAAATTTAACATTCACTCGATATAATCAGTAAGATAATTTGGCCTTCTACAGTCTCTGTGAGGTCTTTGATTACAATTCTTCTGAACTCATGGAGCTGTCTTCTGACATCTCAACAATTTCTATAGGATTTATAGAATCTTCGAATAATCTGGCTATGTTGTAGTCATCTATATCGTAATCAAAGCTGCATGTAGATTGACTCTCTTGGAGGACTTCCATACTTTGTGGAGTTAATGGAAGATTTGCTAAGTCTGAGGTGACACCATCATCAGTAAACTTCCAATAAAAATATTTGCTTTTATTTTTCTGGCTGTTTGTATCTACTGATGGCTGCTGAGCTGCTTGTAAATGTCTGTCACACGTTGTCATCAAGCCAGCAGGTTGGAAAAACTTCTTGAAAAACGAAGAGTTTCTTTTGATAATTTTCTCACCTCGTTTAGCTTCGATAGTGGAGCCCATAATTTTTATTACTGAATAAGGCTTAGGGTCAAAATATGGTGTTAAACTATTTCTTTTAGGCTATTTGCAAAGCACTAAATCACCTTCCATAAAAGTGTGGTATTGTGTTTTTCTCTTAATATCAGCATATCTCTTCTGCTTTAATTTGTTTCTTTCGTCAGACTCTTTTACTTTATTTCGGTCGGTTGACAGTGTCATTATTGGTAACATAGGTAAGAAATTGTTCATTTTTCGGCTGAAGAACAATTCAAATGGAGATTCCTCAGCCGTTGAATGTGGTGTGCTTCTATTATTTATGAAAAATTCATTTATTTTGTGCTCAAAATTACCTTGTTCCAAATGGGAGCAGAGAAGCGATTTCTTAACTGTTTTTACTAATCTCTCGGCCATTCTCATTAGCTTCTGGCCAGTATGGTGTTGTTTTTTTATGCTGAATACCATAGTTATTTAAAAATGTTGTCAATTCAGAGCCATTGAAAGGTGGACCATTGTCGGATTTAAAAGTCTTCGGAAAACCAAAAGTGGTAAATATGTTTTGAAGTACTGGTTGCAGATTTGAGAAAGATGTTGAGTTAACTACTTCTACAATAGGGTACCTTGAGTACTCGTCGACAGCAATAAAAACATACTTTTTGTTGGGAAAAGGTCCTGCATAATCAACATCTATGGCATGGAATGGATACTCTGGTAATGTGCCGGATATAATAGGATTTCTCAGATTGGTTTTGGTGACCGCTTGACATGGAGGACATGACTTTATGAATACTTCTGTCATGGCATCTAGATTTGGAAACCAAACTTTTGTTCTCAGTAATTGTTTGGTTTTGGTGATACCTAAGTGTCCTCTGTGTGTTAGTTCAATAGCTTGTCTCCTTAATGTAGTTGGCAAGACTATTTGATGTCCTCTTAAAATGATGTCATCTTGATAAATTAATTCATCTTTCAGTTTAGAATATGGCACAAGTTCTGGTAGTTTCCAAAAGGTTTGTTTTTTTTAAATTATTGCTTCTTTGATAGCTTGAAAATCAGGATCTTGTCTTGTAGCTTCTTGAACCATTTCTATAGTCATAGCTTTAGGAAGTGCACTTTTTATACAAAAATGAACATAGTCATCTATCTTGTCATTTTTAGGCTCGGATTCACAAATTTCTTCAAATGGATGTTTTGAAAGATAGTCAGACGGATTTGTGACTCCTTGTTGATGTTCAATTTTAAAACTGTAAGGCTGGATCCTTAGTAGCATTCTTTCAACTCGAGCATTTGGTGGTGATCTTGTATTCTGTATAATTTTTACTAACTGAAGATTATCGCAGTCTAAAACAAACTCAGATCCATAAAGATAATTATGAAAATGCTGTACTGACCAAGTGCAAGCTAATGTCTCCTTTTCAAATTGACTATATCGCTTTTGAGTTGAAGTTAAAACTGTGCTGGCGTATGCTACTATGTACATGTTCTTTTGTGTGTCTTCTTGAGCTAATATTGAACCATTTCCATTAGGACCTGCATCTGCATATAAGTGTGATGTTTTCTTGATGTCAAAATATGCCAAGTTATTGGTATCACTTAGCTGATTTTTAAGTAAATTAAAAGCTTTTTCATGTTGTGTTGTCCAGTTAAAATCAGAGTTTTTCTTTGTTAGTTCTCTCAAAAGTTGTGCGTTTTCTGCAAGGTTTGGGAGAAATTTTCCAACATAATTGATCATACCAAGAAATGATCGTACTTCACTTGCGCTTTGAGGACTTTTTAGATTGCTTATGCTCTTTACGTTTCCTGGATCTGGATGCACTCCATCTTGCGAAAAGATATATCCAAAAAACTTGATTTTTGTTACACTGAATATACATTTTGTTTTGTTTATGGTCAGATTATTCTCTTGCAATCTTTTCAGGACTTTTTGTAATGCTTGGTCATGTTCTGCTTTGTTTTTCCCAAAAACAAGTATGTCATCACTTAGGTTAATGACTCCTGGAATGTTTTGTAAAACTTGTCCAATTATGTTTTGAAATATTTCACATGCAGAATTGATGTCAAAACTCAACCTTTTGTATCTATATAATCCAACATGGGTTGAAAACGTTGTTATGTACCTGGATTGTTGTGCTAGGCTGAGTTGATGGTATCCATCCTTCAAATCGATTTTGCTGAACATTTTGGAACCATTCAGTTGTGTTATCAGCTCGTCAACAGTTGGTGTTAAATGACGTTCTCTCATAATTGCTTTATTAGGGTTCCTCATGTCCACACAAATTCGGATATTTTTGGGATTCCCTTGTTTGGGAACAATAACAATCGGTGAGACCCATGGAGTTGGTCCTTCAACTCTCTCAATTATGTTCTGTTCTTCGAGTCTATTGATTTCCTCTTCAACTGATTTTCTTACATGAAATGGTACTCTATGGTGTTTGTGTGCTATGGCTGGAACATTTGGATCAATGTGAAGCTTAATTTGGATGTTTTTCAAATTTCCAACGCCTTTTGTTATTTCAGGATAATTCTTTTCTACATATTCCATGTTTATGTTACAATTTTTAGGTCTATTGAAGCTTGATAAGATAAAAGTGATTCAGATTCACCCTTTATAACGTGAATAACAGTTTGAATTGAGCTGCTTTTATGTTGCATAATTACTGGAAATTTTCCTACAACTTGTAAAATGTTCTAAGTTATTATATGGAAAAATCTTACTTGTATCAGGCTGCAGAGATTCTGAAAAGTTCTCTTTGTAGGTTTTCTCACTTATCAGGTTCACAGATGTACCAGTATCAATAATAAATTGAAGCTTTTTTTTGTTAACTGATAGAGTAACATGTGGTAGACTTGAAATTTTGTTTGTTATCAGGTTAAATGAACAATCTGATGATGATTCTTCATTATTTTGATCGTTTTTTTCTTGATTGTAATTCACTGTTGATTGTTCTTTGTTTTTAGCACTTTTGTTAGTATAACCACTTGTTTGTGGCACGTCACTTGACTTCATTTGATTTGGCCTTCGTTGGGGGTTTTGTTGTTGAGGCCCTTGTTGAGTCGATAAACACACTGTAGCAAAATGTCCTGTTCTTGAGCATTTGAAACAAGTTATATTAAAAGCATAGGTCAGACCAGGGGTACACTTTTATTGCTGCCTGAGACCATATATTCTTTTAAACCCCCTGCTATGGTACGCTCGGCCAGCCATACCGTCTGTAGCCCCCAGAATCAATTAACATCAAGTTGGAAGTGAACTGGCAAAGAAGCTGCTGCCTTGTAGCTGGGATGTTGAATCATCAGAGGCTAGAGGAAGACAACCTTGATCACAAATTACCTGGTCCTCCTGGTAGGGGGTTGAGGCATCGGGCTAACTCCCCGTTACTCGGAAAAAAAATTAAACTGTTAAAAGACCCAATCAACAGCCTCGGAACAGGACTGAAAAACGAAAACGAACTAGGCAACGGAAACGGACAATGAGTATCGGTACATGGAACGTCCAAGGAATCTCTAGAAAATTGAATGAAGTGATATCAGAGATAAAATATCAAAAAATGGATCTGCTTGTCGCCACAGAGACCAAAAAGAAAGGACAGGGCTCAGAAAATCTGGGAGAGTACGATCATTTCTTTAGCGGGGTTCAAAAAGAACTCAGAGCGAAGAAAGGAGTCTCGATCTTCATACATAGAAAATGGAGAAAACATATAACATCATGGGAAGCAGTAAACGAAACCATAATAAAACTAAATGTATGTATGTTCGGAAGGAAAATAACAATCTTGGGAATATATGGAGTGAACGACGACGAACCCGTTAATATAAAGGATCAATTTTACCAACAACTCAGTGACCAAATCATAAAAGTAGGAACTTCAAGGGAAATAATTTTGCTGGGAGACTTTAACGGACGAACAGGACGAAAAATCAACGACAAGGTGATCGGAAAATTCGGAGAGAATGTAACGAATAACAATGGAGAAAGGCTCATAGAAATATGCCAACAAAATAACCTAAAAATCCTAAACGGTTACTTTCAGCATAAAGAAATACATAGGTACACATGGAAAAATGAAACTAGACAACAAAAATCTATTATTGACTACACTATCGCTAAACAGAGCTCGAACATAAAATTCCAGGACGTGAGAGCATATAGGGGAGCGACCTGTGGTAGCGATCATTACCTCCTAAAAACAAAAATCTTTATCCCGGGCAGAAACATCGCAAAAGAAAACGGAATGAAAACCCAAGAAGACAATATTGTGCCTGAGAAATACAACCTAAAATCTCTAGAAGAGCAAAGCGTAAAAGGGTTGTACATGAAGAGATTAGATCAAAAATTACAGAGTAGTATGAGCTTCCAAAACCTTGAAATGCATTACCAACATATCAAAGACAGTATTCGCAGTGCAGCATTTGAAGCCCTTGGCAAATATGAAAAAAAGGGAAGTAGGCCCACACCTTATTGGTGGGATCAAGAAATAGAAGAAGACATAGAAGATAAAAGGAAGAAATACCAACAGTATCTAAGTTCAAATAAGACACGAGACAAAGAAATATATAAAGAAGCACAAGCAAGAGTACGGAATAAAATTGTACACAAAAAGAACGAGTCATGGGAAAGAAACTGTGCGCATATTAATACTTATCTGGGGGGTAAAAGAAACACAGAAAGTTGGAGATTACTCAAAAACATGAGAAAAACAAAAACTAAGGATATTATCAATACAATAACACCCCAGCAATGGGAAGAGTACTTTGAAGAATTACTGACAGAACAGCGGGCAGAGTTTAAAGAAGAGAGGGAACAGACACGAAACATAAAAACTGCAGGATCACCAATACGAGTTATGCAAGAAGAAGTTAAAAAACACTGCGGCTTCTTGAAAAATGGTAGGGCACCAGGCCCAGGAGAAATATATGGAGAACTGATAAAGTGTGGGACCAATAAACTCTACAAACATTTAACAAAACTATTTCAAACATGCATAGATAAACAAGAAGTACCGGAAGAGTGGAAAGTAAGCTATTTAACAACGATATATAAGAAAGGAGACAGAAACAAATGCGAGAACCACCGAGGAATTGCAGTAACAAATACGCTGAGCAGAGTGTATGGAAAACTCATAAAAGCCAGAATAGAGAACGGGTACAAAGATAGTGAGGCAGAAGAACAGGCCGGTTTTAGAGCAGGAAGATCAACTGTAGACCATTTATTCAGTTTGACCCAGGTAATGGAAAAGAAACTAGCCTATAACCAAGAACTCCATTTACTTTTTGTCGATCTAAAGAAAGCATACGACAATGTTCCGCTGAAAAAGCTTTGGGAAGCACTGGAAAAGACCAATATCAACTTAGAACTAATAAAGGCAGTAAAAACGCTCTATAGTGATGCAAAGACCAAGATTAAACAGGGAGACTCAATCAGTAAAGGCTTTATAGCAACTAAAGGACTTAAACAGGGATGCTGCATATCACCAACACTTTTTAAAATATACTTAGAACAAGCGCTCAAAGGGTGGAAAAACAAATGCAGACACATGGGAATACCGCTCAATGAATACAATCTTTATACTTTAAGCTTTGCAGATGATCAAGTATTAATTGCACAGGACTATGATGACCTAGAGTACATGACACGAAAATTGATAGCGGAATACGAGAAATGGGGTTTGGAAGTAAATTTAACGAAAACAGAATATATGACTATAGGAGGTGAACAACGAAATCTGAAATTGAATAACGGACAAGAAATAAAACAATGTTCTGAATACAAATATTTGAGCATGAAAATCTCACACGAGGGAACCCTAGACGAAGCAATTAAAGATAGGAATATACAAGGACGCAAGGCAATATCCCTACTAAATGGTGTACTGTGGGATCAAAATATCAACAAAACTAACAAAACGAGAATATACAACACCATAGTCAAAAGCATAGTCACGTATAGTTCAGAAGTCTGGCCACTAAAGATCAGAACCGCAAAAATGCTGGAAGCAACTGAAATGGACTTTTGGAGGAGATCGGCAGGCAGGTCAAAAATGGAGAGGATAACAAATCTGAGAATTAGGGAGATTATGGACGTAAAACACACAATAATAGATGATATAAAGGACAAACAGCTGATTTGGTTCGGACATGTTCAAAGAATGGCAGATACAAGAATACCCAAGAAAATAATCGAGTGGAAGCCAGGGGGAAGAAGAAGACGCGGCAGACCAAGAAGAAGCTGGAGAAGTGGTGTAGACGAGGAAATGAAGGACAGAGACCTAGAAGAGAATGCCTGGATTGACAGAGATGGTTGGAGATCGGGAATCGGAAGACGTAGAACGTTATAAACCGATAATTATATATATATATTAAAAGCTGGGCAATTTTGTCTTCCATTTCGATGCCAATTGTTACCGCAATTTTTACAAATGTTTCCTTCCCTGTTTCTGTTCCTTGTTTGACTGTTATTAAATCTGTTTTGTTTGTTGCTGCTAAAGTTCTTCACTCTGTTTACATTTTCAGCTAGTACATTGTTTTCCATTTCGTTTAACTGTACCTTAGTTGCCTCGTAAGCCTTTCCTTGGGCAATAAGTTGATTAAGAGACAGGTTCTCTGTAAGTGCATATCTTCTTAACTTGGTTGATGTAGTACCTTGTATAATTTGAGACTTTACCTCTCGATCTTTATCAGGAAAATTACAGTTTAAACTTAGCTTTAATAATCTGGCATAGTACTCATCAATTGTTTCCTCGTCTGATTGTTTTGCCTGTCTGAAATTGAAAATCTCAAACTCCGTGTTGACTTTTGGAGAGAAATGGTTGTTTAATTTTAATTTGGCTTTGTCATATTTTGCTAAGTTTACTGGGGCATTTGTATTAGGATCAATGGGAACTTGTGGATCTGGCAGTGATAAAAATATATCAAATACTTCCTCGCCGATACAGTGCAAAAGCATGAATTCTTTTCGCTCATCGCTCGTTATTCCTGCTGCTATTAGAAAGTTATCAAACCTTTTTAACCATTTCTGCCATCTTATTCCCACATTTCCGCCATGTAGATTAAAAACTTCCACATTGTTGAGGCTATCCATGTTTTTTTTTTTTTTTTGTTTTTTTTTTTTATATATATATTTTATGTTATACGGGCGGCTTGCTCACGTAGTTTCTGATCTCGTCGCCAAAATGTACTATTTAAGATGTTGTTAATAGCATTAATTAATTGTTTGTTTGTTAATTTATTGTTTTAAATAAAACTAATTAAAACTCAGGAAAATGAAAAACGTGCTGTGTTTTGTTTTATTTTTCAAATTCACCTCCCATTTTCAAATATCAGAACCGTGACCTTAAAAATCAAAATAGAATACTACACTGGTCACTTGAAATGTTTATAACGTCAAAATGTCGCAGCTAAAATATTCAAAGTACAGCGCCGAACGTCGGTCGTCGGAAAGTTTCTTCTGCGTTGCTGTGCTATATGATTATACTGGAAGAAGAGGAAAGAGAAAGATCCAAACAAAATCGGTTTGGGTGCAGTATCAGAAGCGATAAATTACAAAACTAAAAAAGTGACGTTTAGACACATGACATAAGCTGTTCATAAAGCGCTTTCATTGGCTACGGTTCAGAACGGCCTCGTAAAATTTAGACTCCAACCTAAACATACAACGGCAATCGCAACCAGAAGCAGGTACATTTTGATTGGTCGAATTCCCAATCGTAATTGTTAATAGTAATCGGCAACGGCCCGTCTGATACGGCCTTAAAACACTCTACTCTTCATTTTTTCCCAAGATAGATTTTGGCATTGAAAACTTTGAAACATAAACAATAACGCTTGACCCTGATTGGTCGCAAAATGAGGTGTTTCTGCAGTTTGACATTAGTTTTACAATGGCGACCGATAAGCGGCATTACCGGCATTGTTTATGTTTCGAAGTTGACAATGCCAAAATCTATCTTGGAAAAAAATAAACCATAGTGAAATAGTCATCAATATTTTGCACCTGATCAAGCAGTTTTTTTGTCGAGTTTAACGAGTTTTCAGCTTTCTTAGCGCTTGAAAAATCCTGTAGTTTTGATCTACATTAATTGCACATCCAAAATAGTAATTTCGATATCTCTTTACTGATGAGTTTGTATTCGCTCGTTCTTATACCAACACACGCTATGTGATACCGCATGACTAGCATTTTCCTTCACAGTACAACCCATTATCACCTTCCTGTGCGTCTTTTTTGCATACTTTGCAATTGGTGTCCTCCTCATGATTACTCATGTTTGTTTACTTTACCAGATGTTTATTTGGCCCCAAGAAAATAAATTCTCAGACAAACAAAAACAAATATGCAAATTTTCAACAAAGCACCGTTCGTGACGAGTTTTACACGTTTTTTATTATATCAACTATTTAGATACTGTTCGAGTTAATTTATTATGGTTTTAATCCAATTATTCGAATTTGAATTTTAGCACTACTTGTAGAAAAAAATTTTTGCAGTCCACTGATCTAATTTTTACGCGAATTTTTATATTTGATTTTTCACTTTAGACATCACTGAGATTTTGATTTTTATCTATAAGATGGTAAAAAGATCAAATAATGTGGGCCACAGTTTTTTGTCGCACTTGAAAATAGGGATTCCTAACTCTTCGAGTTTTGGCGTATCATAATTGAAAATTTGGAAATGCGTGCGATGGCCATTTAGCTTAGGCTGCGAGTCCTCAAACTCGTTCTCCACGTAGTAGTCGCGCAAGCGCGAAAAAGTACTCCTCTTATAGATTCACAGTTGTATATGTTTAATTTGAATTTTATGCCGCGAAACTTTAGCGGAACTATAATACAATACAACAAAAATCTCGTGGCTTTGGGGGGTAATTGGAGATTGCACTCTGTCCTATGAAGAATTAACGATAGCGACTATTTGGGGTAGGGGTTAATCAAAAGTCATAACTATAAATAAATCGCTTTCCATGATTTCGTGAAACCAAGTAATCAGAGCAAGTCATTTATGTGACTACATATTCCCTAATGAACGTGACCAATATTAACACAACCCTTCACAATGAAACCCGTTATTGTTTCGAACATTCCGACCATCATAGAGTAATATATTTTAAAAATCATTTTTTAAATGTCAAGTTCACTTTAAAACATCCAAACGACGGTCACGTGTCCCGGTTAATGTTGACCCTTTCTTATTGTTATGCAAATTGACAATCGACCCTCTTTTCACCAATTAAATAAATGAGGGGTTGGCTATTTTTACTCAAATGACCTAACCCTAATTTTAGATGGCTCCTAATATGACTCTGTCTTTTATTGTCTCGTGGTTGCAATTTATAATAATAGTAATGGGTGTATCTTCTTAGATGAGGGTACCTACCTAGATCAATTTAATTGCGACCGAAAATTCTAAAGTTTGACGAAAGTCGTGAGAAACTAATGGCCGTTTGCACCGACAATTTTGAGGGAGGCTTAACGATAAGTATAACTTACAATGACATTTCTACATGTAAAAATGTCACTTTAAGGAATACTTATTGTTAAGCTCTCCTTAAAATTGTCGGTGCAAACGGCCATAAGTATCACAATAGTTTTTTTCACAATAATCTATTGTAACATTTTTTGCATATCACTTTGTTATTTTTATACTCACCTACTACCATAGAACTAATACATACAACAAACCTTAGTTTTCACCAACTAAGTATAATTACCATTTGCATTTGTTCCAACAACCAAATTAAAATTGCAGCTGCAAAACGGCATCAGACACCGCTTATACATTCAATCAAATATGCTTATTTCTCCCACACGTTACACGTTTAATAAATACCAGCTTTTGTGCAATTTTATCTAACGGACAAAATAGCACCCCTTGAGTTAACTATACAAAAACCACCCCCGAGTGCCGGTCAAAATAGCAAAACACAAACGAGAAAATAATATAGTTTGATTATGCCTTTTTGCTTTTCTATTGTCGAGTATGGGATGGGGTAACTTGATATTTGAATAGGCGAGTGGAATTGGATGTTTGGGTAGCATTTAGGTACTATTATGAAATATTTATGAGGCTGCAGATTTCCTGGATATTTGGACACTAAAAGCAAAATATTTTTTCTTTTGCGTGATGTTTCACCTTTACTCTAAGGCTTCTCCAGGCGATGATTGGTTCAAAATATACAAAAATATGCAGCTTTAGGATTTTGAGTCAATATTTATTTATGATCCAGTCTTCTACCTCCTGACGGAGACAGAAGATGAAACAATTTCGTTTTACAGTCCCAAAATCCATGGAAACTCTAGCCTTACCTTCATTGGGGACAAAAACTGCTTAATGATCAGGACTTATTTAAAATAAGTTGATATAGCTCCGTTAATTAATATTATTCTTGCATCAACCAGAGGAAAATCTTACGAAAACTCTTTTTAGTAAGATCAGTTGTTGTCCTTAGTAAGTAACTCGAATATAATGTTGCTTTAACTCCAGCACGAAACTCGATCACTCGATGGAAATTTGCAAATTGATCGAAATGTCACTAACAAAAATATAGAGGAATCGATTATTCGATGGTTTTGTGATCGAATTTCGTGCTCCCACTGCAGATCGCAACATTCTGGATAGATTTTACTCTCTTTGTGTTCAGGCATATCAAAAACGACTGGACGGCCTCTACAATATAGAAAAACTTTGCCCTGGATAATTCGATAAAAGTGGGAAATGTGATTCTCACCAAGTACTCCAACAGTTAAAGTTAAGTGCTCTTTGCTCTTGGAAGACCTCCATGTTAAAATCGGTTGCAACATTTACCATTTTTTTCTAAAGTAGACGTTTTTTTTTTTTAAGTTAAGATTCAAAGAAATAATATTTTCAATAGTTGGTTTTCCTCACTGAGATAAACTTTATTAATTCAATAATGTAAATGTTAAAAACTGTTGGAAGACAGTTTTCAATAAAGAGATTTCTGCAGATTTCTCTGTTTGCTTAATGAAAAATTGTTCTTAAAAACCGTTTCTGCAACACAAACAAGGATTCTCTCTGCCTCCGTTACGCCACCCCAGAAGATCACACCATATATCACCCTCGACTGTATATAGGCATGGCAGGCCTTTAGAGCCGCCGAACAACCATCCGAGTTCCACAAAACCCTCAAAGCAAAGCAAAATTTACTAATGTTTTGTGCAAGTTGGTCAATGTGAGCATGCCAACCCAGTCTCTCGTCCAGCACCCCAGCCTTGGGTCCGAAAACATCTAAATCGCTACCAAAAGTAGGAATACGAAAGCACCATACAATGAAATATATAAATAGTTAAAATACTCCATCTACCACATTATCCAAAATAATAGGATTCATGACATGCTAATATAGGATTTTTGTGCAAAATTTGGTTAAAATCAGAATAGACAGACAGATAGATAGACAGACAGGACAGACAGGCAGACAGACAGCCTGAGTTCGAAGGTGAGTTGGGGTAAGTAAAGGTAAATTTGCTAAAAAATTATTATTTCCGAATGGGGTAGTATACAAGTGATTTTTAACTACTGCGTAGTGCTATCCTCGATGTATCGTAATCAGTTGCTTTGTAAAAACCGCAATACATTGGAATTTTGGTTTTTTAAACGCACAATCTGCACTGACATTGACCGTCAAGAACGAAACTTCAAATTTACTACATCAAACAACATTAACAAGTTACTGTGACAATGTCCCATGTCACACGATTCAACCGACACCACCACAGCACATATCACCTCTAGAAAAGTATCTGTAATGTTATTTACCGGTTATGAATTACAGCGCCATCGTTGACTGAAAACCCAACTAATCGAGCATTCTTGACAAAAAGGCGAATTGATTTTTTTCATATATTTTTATTATTTTTAAATAATTTCTAATATTCAACTGCATTTGGCTTGCTGACGCCTTTTAGCTCTTTCGCCTCATTTTTTTGAAAACTATGACTGGCAGGAAGTTTCCGATGTCGAACATGGTGCAAAAAGAGTTAGTAAGTTAGCAAGAGACACGCAGCTATAGGTAGATCGCGAAGTAAATACGAATAATAAATACAAATACGAACGAAACGAAACAAACGAGTAAATACAAAAAAATACGAACAAAAATTAGGGTTTTTTTCAACCAAAACTTTTTGAATTTTCACTTTAACGC